TCTCTGCCAGATTTAAAAAGGGCTGTCCATTTTTTCACAGTGGTGTACGAAGGAGCAGACTCTCCTAAAACTTCATCCATGTCAGCTTTGATTTAAGATGCGGTCAACCCTTTTTTCGTCAGGTATTTTATGGCCGCACGAGTCTCCGTCTTCTCCATTTTTGACAAAGCATGTGCACACTGACTATCTGCTAAGCTGTCATGGCAAAACTTTTTGACAAATCAAGCGGAAATTGGTATCGTATCTTTAGCAAAGATGAATGAATTATTCCCGCCAAAAATTAAATTGATCGCAGCGCCGCATATAGGCAAGGCCGCAAACTTTCCAAACAGCCCTCGTAGTTTAAAGTAATATCTGCCATGTATAGGACAAGCATTTTTCATCATTTTACATTACCTGAAGTGTTTTGCTACCAAACATGGTTATAAAAAAGCCCTTATCCAACAATTGGTCAAAGTATATAACAAAAATAACAAGAGATAAACCAAAAATAACAAAAGGAATAATGGAAATAGTGGGCACGATTTCAATACTTGCCATGTGGTAGTAGAGTACAACCATCTTATGAAGAACATATACACTATCTGGCCATAAGTATCCGGACACCCAGTAGTACGGACTCAGAGTCTTGAAGCATATATTAATATGATGTTGGTCCTCCTTTTGCATCAATGACAGCCTGCACATGTCTGGGGAAACTTTCCACTAGTTTTGAGAGGAGGCCATCAGAATTAACTTCCAGGCATCCATCACAACTGAAGTGAGTGTTGGCAGTGAGGATGGTTGATGTGGATGGCTACGTAATCCGCATCCTAATTCGTCTCAAAGGTGTTCTATGGGATTTAGATTGGGGCTCTGAGAAGGCCAGTCCAGTTTTTGAACACCCATTTCATCAAACCATTCCTGTGCAAGTCTCAATGTGTGAATGGAGCAGTTATCCTGCTGGAAGAGAAATGGGCCTTCCCCAAAATACTGCCATAGAGTTAGGAAAGCAGCATTGTCCAGAATGTCCACATACATCCTAGAGTTCATGTTTCCAACCACAGGAACTAAGGGACCTAAGCCAAACCATGAAAAACATCTCCACACCATGATGCTGCCACCACCAAACTTTACAGTCAGCACAATGCAGTCATGCAAGAAGCGCTCGCCGGGCATCCACCAAACCCAGATGTGTCCATCGGACTGCCAGATTGTAAAGCGAGATTCATCACTCCGATGAACACTTTTCCACATGTCCACAGTCCAATGACGGTGAGCTTTGCACCATTGCAATCGATGCTTTGCATTCTGGGGAATGATGTTCGGCTTGAGAGCGACTGCACGACCATGAAATCCCAGGTTTTTTTTAACTCTCAATGAACAGTCCTGGTGCTAACACTAATGCCTGATGATCTTTGGAACTCCTAAGTGATTTCAACCAATGAGGACATGCGATTTTGTTTCACTACCCTTTTCAGAATTCTACGGCTGCATTCACTAATTTTGTTCAGCCTGCCATATCAATTATTTCCACTTTCACTGCCTTGATGTTTCCACTTCACAATTACATCACTCACAGTGGATTTTGGCTTCTATAGAATGTCCAAAATTTCATGAACTGATTTCCCACAAAGGTGGCATCCCACTATAAAGCCACGATCAAAGTCACTAAGCTCCTTTGACTCACTCATTGTCTTACAAACTCATAAATATGTGAGACAATGAGTAAGTCAAAGGAGCTTAGTGACTTTGATCATGGCTTTATAGTGGGATGCCACCTTTGTGGGAAATCAGCTCATGAAATTTTGACCTGACAAACCACTACCAACACTTTTATGCCTTTTGGTTACACATCAAAGGCCGTCACCTGCCAGATCCACTTCTTTAGGTGGTGTCTGGATACTTTTGGCATAAAGAGATAGCAGAATGTAAGAATACCAAAATAACATAAGTATGCAATCCTGCTGCATACAACTTATTGCACGATGGCAATCAACTCTGCTTACCGGGAATATATCGTATTCCAGTGATAAACCATAGAGACTAACAAGCATTGGAATACATAGGCTCCACAGCACAGTATCTGCAAAAGAGATTAACAGAACATAATTATGATATCAGCCACAACAAGCTCACCACCACCTTGGCTATTTATGCCTCAGACAGCAACATCCTGACCAATCGCTGCCATTATTAAGAGAGCCAAACAATTGGAAAACATTAATGCCTTGGAATCACTGGAAATACATGAAGCTGAAAAACAACAGAGAAACATTAATTTCAAAGATGAGAAATGCTTGTCCTATGCATGGCAGATATTACTTTAAATCACATCCGGGCCCTTTATTAACATGAAAATAATTTTTTTTTTTATTTAAAGAATGTAACAGAAATTGGTTTAATATCTTGTGTCCCACTTAATGACAATGACATAACACAGCAAATTTAACCTGGAGACGCACTCGATTAATGGAACATTTTTAAAATGCAAAAGCATTCAATTTACAGAACATTTTTTAAAACATTTATGTTTTAACCTGAAGACAATCCAGCTGAAGGATTGAAAACATTAGTTGTTATCAAGATAATATGCTACTGGAGAATTGTTTAGAAAGTACTACAAAGAAATTTTCTCTCTAAAAGAAATAAGTTTTACATGTGTGTCAGTTAGACAGTTTACAGTACATGATATGATATCCTTTGTCTACTTCCCACAATAACCAGTTTTGTATTAGACCTTGTGCTAGTGGCTGGTATCTGTACGTTCTTCTTTGTTACGAGCAATAAAGCATTATCAGTCATTGTAGTTAGATTCGACACCCTCTTAAATGTGTGTGCATAGCAAAATGTTACAATAAGAAAGCCACCCCATAAGCTATTAGTTAATTGATAAAGATTTTTATTTTTAAAATTCCATTCTTGAAACTTCTGTACATGGGCCTATTCTTTAAGAAACAATGGAACCACTTTTCTAGCTATACTTTTGTAAAATGTAAAAAATTGCCAAACTGGTCCCTATTCATTAAGCTCTATTTTTAGTTTTCTATGTTGCTTCAAGATAATTTTCATACAGAACTGAAAGGAGAATCATTGTTACAACAAAACAGTATCAAGTAAATAAAGTACATCTTTTGAAAACTAGGCATTTACTCTTATTTCTCTAGGTCTAAATTAAAAAGTATGGTTTGTTAATTATTTTTCTTTTTCTTAAAAAATAGGTATCTTTTTGGTTGGTTGGTTGCGGTTTTTTGGCACAAGGGCCACAAAGGCTAAGCTGCGCCAGGGTAAATTTTTGTTTCTTATAACACAAAAGTTTACCTAATGTTTTTACATAATTTAAAAGGAATGTATTTACATTTTAAAATTATCTTTAATACTTATGGGTGTTATATCAAATTTTCATTACTGAATATTAATTTATTTTTTGCAAAAATATCTGATCTCAAAAGAATATTTTCATTGTTGGAAGTATATTATTTCAGTTCTAGAAAATGTTCAACACATAAAGCAAAGCAAAACAGTGAATTAAAATATTTTTACACTATTAGGTTAGGACTGCTAATAGAGATCACTGTGTGTCATTGACATAGCACCAAATTATTTTGTTGCATTATTTACACCAGATGGTATAAATGTTAGTAAAAAAAATTATTGTATTTTTATTATTGCATTTTATAACAGATTATTATTATTAGGATTTAAAAGTCACATAGAAGAAACATTTTTTAAGAGCTAATTTATTCATTAAAGGAAGTTTTGCCTTTCTAGTATAAATTGTATAATAATTTATGTATGAACATCCTATCAATTCCTTGTGATGCAAATAAGGAGAAGCCATCCTTCTATATTTTCTACTTTGCTATATTAAAGTATATTTATACAGATTTCTGACTTTTATAACTTTGCAAATATCAGCTGTTACAAATAGATCATTGTAAAAAACATTTTCCTCTTTTTCTTTCTAAAAAAGTTGAAATAATCAACATTTACCTAATAAAAAGAAAACACATTAAAATAATAAAACTTTTTTGAGTATAAAAAAATTAATAAGCCACTAGTGATGTAAGAAACAGAAAATGGAAAAAAGCCAATTATGTATTTGGAATAATAATGATTTATAAAGAAAAAATTACTATTTCATTAAAATTTGACTTCAATTGAACAGAAGATATGCTAAAGATCTGCATTTAAGAACAAATTATTCACTCTCTTTTACAAGATTATAACTCATTAAATTGTAATTTATACTAGTGCACTCAAAAAGTTTGAGTACTAAGCAGATTGTGAAAAAATGCATTTAAGCATTTTATACACACATCCGATTTCAAAGTAATGTCACTCGGCCACAATGCATTGCTGTAAATGATGATACAACTGCTGGAAACACTCCTAAAAAGCATTTTCTGGAACCGTGCATAAGACTGCTATGATGCAGTGACAACCTCTGTAGACAATGGAACACCTGTTCATGAAAGTTGTTGTTTTGTATAGCCAAAAAGGAAATAATTGTTTGGTGCCAGTTTGGGTGAGCATGTGGGATGCAGCAAGGTTGCCAGCTCAGTTTGCACCAGAAGAGAGAGATGTGTGTGGAAGTGCTGTCCTGCAGGAGAAACCAGTTGTGGTTCCACCACAGCTTGGGTTGCATGCAACAAACTGATTTGTGCAGACAATGCAGAATTTGCACATGCCATTCTTTGTTTATAGTAGCATCCTTGGCATTGAATTCCTTGTGCACAATGTCCAAAGTCATGTGATAAGTGTTTTTCAACAGTTATCACATGACTTTGTCATCAGACCTGTCTTGGTGGCATCTCCTTGTATGCAGGGATGACAGTGATTTCCAAGTTATTAATTTCCACTTCACTTGTGAATTGTAGAGGAAACATCAGGACTTTATCTCTAGTTACGATGAGTTGCAGAAATGTCTCATTATCAGCATTGTGAATGAATATATAAACATCAACTCACAGCCCGAGTAGATAATAACAACACCAAACGATCGCCTAATTATCGGGCTATAATATGGCTATTTCAAATGATTGGAACTAAGTAATTTGACATTAGAGGTAGGCGTTAGGCGCCATCTCTTAATTAAATTAATAATTAAATAAATAAATTTAGAACATTCTGGAATAAAAGAACTGGCGGCGCCTAACGCCTACCTCTAATGTCAAATTACTTAGTTCCAATCATTTGAAATAGCCATATTATAGCCCGATAATTAGGCGATCGTTTGGTGTTATTGTTAATGAAGTTGCCACAAATAGTCATCCTTGACAATCAATCATTTATTTAGAGGTCAAAAGTACATAACCATTCATCCTTGACACTGATTGTACACAGTGGTGATATTCAGCGGGTTCGCATAGGTTCGGCCAAACCCGTTGTTAACATTTTCAAAGTTTTCCGAACCTTGTTACACACACGTAACATTTCTCAGTAGTTTTGTTTCTTTTAAAAAATATATTAAAATATATGTACTATACTCTGTAACACTACTAAACTAGAGCCTTATACCCCGTTCACCTTGGTACGACCTCCCTCGACCATTTCAATCTCGAATGAAACGAGGTTCAATCGTGGTCGACTCGAGAGTTCTTGAAACTAGATCCAGCATAAGAGAGATCCCACAATCCCACACGTGCGAGAAAATACAAGATGGCTGCAGAACATGTGTCATAATAAAATATGTACAAAATAAACCATTTTGAACACTCTTTTTTATTATTTATAAAAATACATGTATCTTAAGGCCAGTTTTTGCACTAATGTTGCTAATGCACCATTTGAGTGAAAAAAAATTGTTAAGGAAAAATTTTCTGTTAGCGAAACCTTTGTTAAATATTTCAAATATCACCAATAATTGTACATCAATGAGTACAGAATGACATTCAGCAAAAGTGTCATATTCAGTTCTGTCAGACTAGCATGACAGTTACCACAGCTGATACCTGATGCTGATGCAAAGTCATTCATAGTCTGGAAATGATATTCACCAACAATACATTGCACCTTCTGAATTTTTTCTTCCATTCTCGCCGTAGCCAGCCAACCTGTATGTGGGTCATTGTTGACTGCATTTCTACCTTCTGCAAACCAATGCCACTTAAATACAAGAGCAGATCATGGATTTATTCCCATACACCTGCTGAAATCATCTGCAATGTTTTGGTAGCTGATGTGCCAAATTTTTGGCAAAAGTTAATGTTTATTCATATCCAACTTCAATATAACACACTTTGCCATTGTCACTTCACTCCTGTATTAACGATGTACCATTCTGCATGCACTAATTCCCCCATGCATCTATTACTAGCAGTTTCTGACAAGTAACTGCACGCAGTTATTTATACCTGTGCAGTCCTGCAATATTTTGACTATATGCTGGTAAAATTAACTGACATATGCAGAACATTTCAATTAATTTTTTTAATCATGAATGATGTCATAAATAATAACTTCATACATACCAGAAAATCCAGTGTTTAAAAATAAAGTTTAATTATATAAACAAATATTTTCAACAGTTTTAAAATTGTCATCTTCAAAACAAACGTTTCTAAAAAATGATTTGAGTTTGTTCTGTGATCCACTTTTCAACCTGAAGATGATAATTTTAAACTGGTGAAAATATTTTTTGTATAATAACTATTTTTTGCTGGATTTTCTGGTGTGTATGTTGCCAATGCCTTAAATCAAAACAATTATTATTTAGCACAGAAAATAAATAAGATCATCTTAGGACCTATTTAATTGAAAAATTTTAATACTAAAACATTCTCAATAACAAAAGGTGAGTACTTACAATTGAACTTTAGTAATTTCCAGTCCCCAAGATACAATTGTCTTATTTAGTTCTTCCTGGAGAATAAAACTCGAATTCTTAGGACTAATCAAAATATAATTTTTTAGCTTTCATTTTCATAAATACACTAAGTGCAACTTACTTGGAAACTACTTTCAAAAACTGTTTTTTTATTTTCAAAATCATCTTGTGGTTTTTGAGAAGCAGTGTTTACTAGGCATTGATGACTAAGCTGATTAAACACTTCTTCTAATTTCTGAACTCTTGTAACAAAATGAATAATATCTGCTACTTGGTATTCTACTTCTGTGCTAATCTCTATTATTCCTCCGTCAGCTGTTAAAATCTAAACAAAAATCAAATTTTCAATTTATTTACTTTAAAACTCAACTTTATAATAAAATTGATTATTTTGCTAATCTGAAGCAGTGTTGTTATTCTTACGTGTTTCTTAAACACTATGTAGTGTAATTAATAAATCATTTAGCATTCCTTCATATCTTTATTTCCAATTGATTATTTCAAAAATAAATTATGTTTTGATGGAAGTGACATTCGTCTTTCTACAGATGAAATTTTCTTACTCATTATGAAAAATTACATAATATTCATTACTTTAAACAGATGAAAATCAAAGAAAAGTTTATCCTCTTATATTTGAAATACACTATAAGAAAATTTGAAGTTTTAGGCTGCTTTCAGACAGGTCACTCGGTCGTGTCCATTCATATCTCCATTGAAATCCATACATCTTAACACATAAATTGTACATCTTAACAAATGCTTTCAGATAGACATTACCGGCATGAAGCCATGGCACGGAATTGCCAATCTGTGCTGTCAATCACGGTCAATCACAGCTCTCCACAAAAACCACTTTTGGTAGCTGTTTCAAGAGTAATCGAAGGTTGCTAGATGAATTGACAAAGCTTCCAGAATTCTCTAAATTATTTAATTTAATTATAATTATCAAATCTAATAAGAGATGGTGCCTAATGCCTTCCTATACTGACAAATTATTTAGTAATTAATTTAAAATAATTGCTATATAGTAGCCCAATATAATCTGGTAGTTGTTAGATTATGTATGTATGTACTATACATCAGGTTTATAGATGTTGGTTTATGTATAAATTTCAAAGATTTGTAATGTGTGTTTATCAAAGAAAATTCCTTTACACTGAAAGAAATTAGTATTTTTGCATGATCTGAAAGTGGTCTGATAAATGTGTAACTATCATCCAATTGCTCTTCAGTTGGTATATAGAAAATTATTTAATGTTAAATTCATTGTGTTAAAATCTGTTTAAATTAAGTAACTTAATTAATATTAATCATCCATGTACAGTTTGTCAGGTGTGTTGGAAATGGTAGTTTATTATATTCGAAACAATTCAAAATTAGCATTAATTTCAAAATGTTTATTTCTAAAAGGATTTCATTTATTTCGTCAAAAGTACTTGAGATAATTATTTTTGTTGCTAAAACTTCTCAATTTTTCTCGTAGTCAAACGAAAAGTCAATTTAATTACGTTTATATAAACGCAAAGAATTTATTACGAATAACATCCGGTATATAATGACAAAATAAAACATAAACATCGAAAATAACTTTAAAACAAAAAATTATCCGCGAAACACATACAGAAAAACACTGTGCACTTTACTCTTATTCCGTTTATTATATGTTTAATATTTGATTCAATCAGAATGGGAAAAATCTGAACTTATATTTATATTCATAGCGATTTACTTTTATTTAACGTACTGTTTATACATGTGTACTGCTTTGTCATTTTTTATATTATANATATATCATATGAAAAAATTCATATATTTTTATTCATATAAATGCATTAAAAACTAAAAAAATTTCTTCAGCTTTCATAGTATTCTTGGTGTTATGCAACCAAAAATAACAGCGTGGGATGAACACACCACACTTTTATTTAGAAATTTTCATAGTTACACTTTCTATCAATTTTTAATGGACTCCCACGAATGCCCCATGCTTTTATTTCTAATCTCATAATACCAGATTACTGCAAAAGCTGAAGAAAATTTAGTTTTTACTTTATAGTGCATTTATGTGAAATTTTTATTTTAAAACTATTTTTCTTAAAGTAAAAGCACACTGACTATGGCGTTAACAGTTTATTTTTGCTAGTGCTTCCAACAAACTTAGTTCATCATTTTCAGGCAAATTTTTCTCAAACTTTTTCAATCCAACACCCCTAATCCATTTGCCATTGTGTGAGAAAGGCCTGAAAATACTCTTAAGAAAAGTTTTCTACGAACCTCACACTTTGTGTCCTTACCATATATTGTTCTCAACATCTGGAAACCATTAAATGCAATGTTTCTTCTTACCCGTTTAACAGAGGAAAAGGAAAGGTTGTCAGTGACCCAAACTTTGCCTATAGTCACCATTCAGTACCTTGCCCCCAGCATTCCCTGCTGCCCATTTACTTCATTTTTATCCCCTAGATTTACTCACTGCCCACAAGAGGGAGGCAGCACCCATTTTGGGAACCACTGCATTAGAACATTGTGTTCTACTTTTAAATTTTGTTTGCTTGAAGATGAACGTAATTTGATGAAAGTGCTAGTGAAAATAAACTGTTAACACTGCACTCAGTGTATTTTTACTTTCTTTTTTTGTAATATTTGGTGAGAGGTTCGAGCTGTATTCAATAGTTTTTTTTTAATTTTCTACTGTTTAGTTTTATATATGTAACAGGTGAATTATTGAAATTTCTCCTTTTAGCATTATGTCGACCAGGGGTGGCCAACACGTCCAATGCACCAAACTTGGCGCATTGGACGATTACAAGTGGCGCTTCAGTCGTTTCCGAGCAACATTGCTAGATTCGGCTTCATTGCATACACAATTAGGTGCAATCGACCTGTTGACCTTTTTTTTTATTTGCTTGTACGTTACACTATGCATTCGTGTTCACGTGCACCACTGATGTCATATAGAACTACTTTATACGGGTAGTGTAGTTACCCGTGTAAGATAGTTCTCTTATAAATTATAGATTATAAATAGTTTCTTCTTATAAATTGAAATACTTAATTAATGGGAGGCCAAAATTTTTCTCCGCCCCGGGCTGCTAACACTCACGGTATGCCACTGCGCATCTGAACTCGTCTATCAAAAAATTGGCGCATGGTATGCAAAAGGTTGGCCACCCCTGATGTAGACAGTACAACTAAAAAGGGCAATGGTTTGCCCTGTGTGTAATGCCATCATTATCAGATGTTTACAAAATTTAATTCTTCTTCTGCTAATTGCTAAAATTGTTTATAAACTCTAAAAAAATGTTTTATTATTGAGAATACACATGTATGCAAAGTTTCAACTAGATCAGAAATTGAAGTGGGTGAAAATTGAGTTATTTTATCTGGATGGTCAGACAAAGAAAAATAGAATAAGTTAATAAAGTGTATAAAAACAGATTGATGAAATGAATTGAGGCACAATATCTTGGACAGAAATAAATTTGCATTTTTATAAGGAAAAGTATACAGGGAATCCACATTTGTACTTGATAATCTTATTCAATTTAATTTTTAAAAAACTTCTGATTTTTTTAGTTTTTGTCAATTTATTATAGATTGATTGATACTGTAACTTAATTTAAAAAATGCCATGCTTAAGTTGAATAATAAATTTTTCAAATTAATATACACAATACTTATCATTAACATATATACAGTAGAGCATCATTTATCTGAAAGCTGGTTATCCGAAACGCCCGTTATCCGAAAGCATTCCATTCGGCAAATTTAAATTTTCGCTAGTGCTGTGGCGCTGCAATCTTCGGCTATTTCTCGGGCTACTCAAATATTTTACGTTTTTGATACTAAATGAACATCTGAAGTATAATTTTTTATTGTTTTAATATTTTTCAATAAATTTATTTTGTTTGTACAAAATAAAAAAATAATTTTTAANACTCCTTCATATGTCAGGAGTTGCAATTTGGCATAGTATTTGGTGATCAAATCATGCGCACATAAAATAAACCAGACTTGTAGGTAGTCAGGGGACCCAGAATCGAGTCAAAATAAAATACAAAATGCTGAAACTGTTTCTACAAACAGGCGCGAGTGCGAGATTTGCGCATGAGTTGCTCGCACTCTCTGAAACATAGTATCGACCCAAGAATGACTTCGCCGTTTTACTTGTTTATTATAAAGTACAGTATGTATATTAAAGTATTGTAGACAGTATCTTACCATATCTACTGCTGTATAGTTTCGTGTAGTCTCCAATCCGTCCCACGCCTTTGACTATTCATTTTTCCTTTTCCATCTTGTTTATCGTTGCTTTTAGTAAGACGACAGAGCAGTAAGAATTTTTCAGCAAATGGCTGATAGCTGTCCACCGAGTGAAAGTATGTTATTCTGATGTTCAATCTTCTTTTTGTGTTTGCTCTTTCTCTTACAATACAATATCAGAATTGCTGAGCATAGCTGATGGTAAGATACAATAGAAGGTTATATACATAGTGTTTGATAAACATTTCCATAAGCATTGCGCCAAGAGGGTGCATATAGTATTTCGTTAGTAGAGTAAACAAACTTAGGCGCGACAATAAAATTCATACATTAAAATGCCCGATAAAACATAAATTGTTTGTTTGTTTTGTTGCACGACAGATACTAATACAGTAGAGCGTCGTTTATCCGAATCAATTGGGGACTGGGGTTGTTCGGATAACTTATTTTTCGGATAACCGATTACAGTAGACCCCCTATAATGCGGGTTCATATAATGCGGATTCGTATATCGCGCGAAAAAATTGAGACCGTATTCGTATAAAGACGCTAAAGAGACTCGTAAAATGCGGTAAAACGTCATCGCCGACTCGTGTCGCGACAGGATTGGTCGAACCTGGACCAATAGTGGACGAGCAGCCGAACTACTTACACGCTACAGAGAGTTTAGGCGGGTAAGTTGAGCTTACTCAGTGCCGTACCGTAGTGGGGACGGCAAAATTTCACAATAAATAACAATAATATCTTGTAAAAATTTGAAACATCCTAATCTATAATTGCATTGTGCCTACGATAGTGCTATCGTCGGGACAGTCCGGGAATCGACTCGCCGGATGAAGTAGTAACTTTTTCATCCGAGGAATTCCTGCGAAACCTGTTGACCCTTTTTTTTTTATTTTTTGCTTGTACGATTCATTCGCGTTCATATACACCACTAATATTCAATAGAACTATTTTAAACAGGTCGCTGCACTACCACCGAATTTTTCATTGCTTGTTCTGTGACAAAACTGAATTTTGGTCTTTTAAATTGAAATACCTAAATAAAGGGGGCGAAATTTTCCTCAGCCCCGGGCGGCTGACACCCACGGTACGCCACTGAGTTTACTTTCGTCTGTATAGTATATAGGCTCCAAAGTTCAATGAATTTTTCGCAGAAAAATAACTTATCAGAAAACGCGGCCGCCGTTTGGTGCGCTGCTCCCCGACGAAAACAAGC